AGTGCATTTTTAACAGCATTGTCTAAGTGTTCACTATAGGATGAAGCTTTCTCAGTTTTTTTGCACCTGTCAATCTTAGGTAACTGTTCTGGCTTAGATCCTCCATCTTCCCTCAAACGGTATTCCTCTGACTCCTGATATGCCCGACAGCGGTCAATGACAGCCATGATTGAGATCTTCTCACGAGATGTCGGCGAACGAATTTGGACGTAGCTGTCATCTGTTGTTATTTCCTGTTTCTTGCACTCTTGTGTTGACTGGTCCATCTCTACTGGTGGTGTAACCTCAGGTACTTTCTCAACCACAATTATATTCTTCTCATTTGGAAGGGTTGCTTGAGCGGAGATATAGAAGCCACTGCTGGCATTTTTACTCTGAAGACTCTGCAGATCACTCAAGTACAAACTACCCAATTTTTGATCCAGAGAACCTGCACGCTGGGTCCGAGTCAGCAATTCTCCTGTATCCCTTCCTGGATAAAACTTGTAAACTGAAGAGTCTGTGGAGCCATTAGAGGTGACTAAGCGGCTAGAAGAGCAGCTAGAACGTCTTTTAGAGCTGCCGTCAAACATCCTTTCTTCCACAGAACGACTTTGGCCTACTGGTGGCGGAGCAGACGAGCTACCGAGGTGTGCATATTTTGAGCAAAGTTCACGGACGTCCGGCCAGTTGAAGCTCTCAGGTGTTGGACTAAGAGGACTCCTGGAATGGGACAGGTGTGGGGACAAGGCCTTTGGGCTACTGACAGAATTAGAAGTGTGGTCTGGGCTGGGAGTCATAACCTGGGCCTTCTGGTCTCCGTCATAATCAGGCTGATCATATGGAGCCATGGAGAGCATCAAGTCTGCTTTAACTGTTAATCACAAAATAGCAAATGTAAGTGGAGCAGTGAAACATAAGATCATTTTATGTTATTATACTGTATACAAAATATTAAAAACGTAATCTCATGAAGGAGAATTTCTGCAACTAATTTATATAAAAACTGACACAAGCAGAGCTTAAAGTTTTATCAGCCATGTCCCAGTTACTTATACTGTAGTTAGCTCCATTGAGGCATTGAACACTAACTTGTCGCATATAATAGTCAAATAGCATCCATCTTACCTTTGGCCTCTTTCTCTGGCTTTTCTTCTACCACCGAAAACAGGTTCCTCTTGGCCAACCATGTATCTCCTGACTCCTGACTCCTCTGTCTCAACATTGGTTGTGTGCACTTGATGCGTTGACTGTATTTCCTTGCAAGATGGAAAACTTTGTTTTGGGATGAATCTGCGTCTTCTGCTGACTGAGCTCCTGTGTCTTTCTCATCTTCAGTTTCTGCTCTCAACTGGATAACTCGGGGAGCGAGAGCTCTCAGGGGTCTCCCTTCAACCTCCCATTGTCTGGGTCTGATGGCATCATTCTCACTGGCTGCACGGTTTTCCTTCTCCTTGAAAGCTAATGGTGTAGAGGACTCCTCTCTGATAGTGCTCAGATCTGAATCTTCAAACATAATCAGTCCATCGCTGCCTTTGGATTCTTGCTTTCTTCTCTGGTTTGGATCCTTCCTGGAGAGGCTGGGACTGGTCCCTTTAAAATAAGGAATTTCTCTGGGCCTCAGTGCTTTGAGGTCCCCATGACATCTAGTGACCTCTTTTTCCATATCTTGCCAGACTTTGATCATCTCAGAGGAGGGACGGAAAACCTCTTCCTCATGACTCCCATCTATCGACTGAGGTTTAATGGAACCATCTACATCAGAGTCAAACAGGTCTCCGTTTCTGTCATGCCTAGAGAAATCTGTGGAAGCGGCGATAGCAGGTTTTGTTATGGTAGCTGGATTTGCATTGGTCTCTGACAGAGCCGATGTAACCAAAAGAGATTCTGTGAGTGAGTTATGAGCTGTTACAGGTCCAGATGTACTGGTGGGCTTCTCTAGGGCAAGGTCTTTATCTTTAGGAATGCTGTTAAAACGACTAACTGAATTTCTAACAAGCCCACTTGGAATGTAAGTGAGGCTCTCTCTACGCTTTAGGCTAAATGTAGCATCCTGGTGTTCTGCATTCTCATAGTAGCTCCTAATCTTGTCAATGAGTAGTTGGTCTTGCCTGGAAAGCACTGAATCCCTTCTTCTGTAGATGCTTCGATCCGAGTCAAAAAGACTGTCCTCCCCTGATGACCCGATCATGAAGTCTGCTGATGCAAGGGCTTCCTGGGTCAGTGGAACTCCATGTGACTCAGAGCAGGTGTTAGCAAGGCGATGATGGCGCTCATGGGCATCTCCTAGATTTACAGTGCTCCCGGTCCTGCTGGGTAGACGTGGAGATACGCAACCGAGGGAGCGCATTTCCTCTGTGCTGACGCTACTACTCCGCGCATTACACACAAAGTGTTCAGCAATGGCACTGGCCTTATCAAGCACAGATGATGGTAGGATGCTAGTGGAGTCTGGTTTCTCTTCTACATCCTCCTCTTCCTCTGAAGAATCACCAGGTGTGTCTTCCTGCCGTAACAGAGATGAGGCCTCTTCTTTAGAACCTTTCTGATCATCTTTGTCCCTTGCAGACTCCAGATCCTGGATATCTGGGACCTGTTTTTCCATCTCTTTGGACTCTGGATCACAAAACACATCTGGCTTCAATTTCTCAGTGGAACCCCAGCAAGAGGTTGTTTCCAGGTTTTGTGATTTGTCCTTGAGAGTGTAAGAAGGGGAAATCAAGATACAGTTATAAGCTAATTTCATTGATCTCTGGGTTTGTTTCAAATACAGCTGGGTATTGCCAACCACATCAAGATACAAAACATATGTCAAAGTTCAAAACATTGGTTAGATAACCTGTTACTTACTAAAGCAACTTACAATCAGCAAGTAAAATTTTAGTCCTAGGTGTAAAGTACTAATACTAATACAATTCTGCTAACTTAACATATGAAACAATTTTAATTAAACAACTAACCTGTTCTGAGATGTATTTTTCATCCTTAAGATATGCCTCCACCTGTTCAACTGGTGGGCCATTTTCTCCTTTAAAATTGTTCCCAGTGTCCTCACACCCCCCTTCCTCCTAACATAAAAACATGTTTTTTAGGGATGTTTGACAAAATTAATTTTTTCAATAAATATTTACAGTGTTATATAAGCAATACAGCTAAAGTACAGCTACTCAAATAGTAAAACAATTATTCAGACATCCAGATTAAGTTAAAGTTAGAGTTATTAGCAAGCCCAGATGAAATCAGCAGACTTTTTCCATGCTGATTTTGGGAAGAAAATGTGTATTCTTTTATTTATTTTTTTATTGTTTGTTTGTATGTTTGTTTGTTAAACAAAATGACAAAATATTTTACATAATTATTACAAACATATTAATGTTCAAAATCTGGAGCTTTCTGAGTAATTCTGTGCACACAGATTCCATCTGGACTTGGTTGTTAGTTAAAAATAACAGTCAATAATAGTCAAAATAACAGATCATAATAGTTTCAAACAGTTATGTTAATGCAGTGAATAGAACAACTGCTGTTACATGCACATCTTAGTTAAAATTACCATTGAACATTTGAAACAATATGTTAACTGGGGTATGATATGGAAAGTGAGTGTTCACCATGTCCTAACCAGACACAACGCAATGTAGCGACATGCAAAAAAGGTATCTCATCCATTTTAAAGATTTTTTTTTTCCTAACCAACGCTGTTTTTTTTAGCGCTTGCTTATTTTCGTGACTTTTTGATTGGAGAGCCACGTACACACACAAATCTCACAGAACCTGAATTACTACTCCTCATGTATATTAAATATTATGACAAATCCCTTAATTTCATATGGAAAGCCATGAAAAGGATGCCTTGTGGTAAAGCCTCGCATTAGTCATAATATAGTCAAGGAACATGTTCACTGGCCTTATCAAGCACAGATGATGGTAGGATGCTAGTGGAGTCTGGTTTCTCTTCTACATCCTCCTCTTCCTCTGAAGAATCACCAGGTGTGTCTTCCTGCCGTAACAGAGATGAGGCCTCTTCTTTAGAACCTTTCTGATCATCTTTGTCCCTTGCAGACTCCAGATCCTGGATATCTGGGACCTGTTTTTCCATCTCTTTGGACTCTGGATCACAAAACACATCTGGCTTCAATTTCTCAGTGGAACCCCAGCAAGAGGTTGTTTCCAGGTTTTGTGATTTGTCCTTGAGAGTGTAAGAAGGGGAAATCAAGATACAGTTATAAGCTAATTTCATTGATCTCTGGGTTTGTTTCAAATACAGCTGGGTATTGCCAACCACATCAAGATACAAAACATATGTCAAAGTTCAAAACATTGGTTAGATAACCTGTTACTTACTAAAGCAACTTACAATCAGCAAGTAAAATTTTAGTCCTAGGTGTAAAGTACTAATACTAATACAATTCTGCTAACTTAACATATGAAACAATTTTAATTAAACAACTAACCTGTTCTGAGATGTATTTTTCATCCTTAAGATATGCCTCCACCTGTTCAACTGGTGGGCCATTTTCTCCTTTAAAATTGTTCCCAGTGTCCTCACACCCCCCTTCCTCCTAACATAAAAACATGTTTTTTAGGGATGTTTGACAAAATTAATTTTTTCAATAAATATTTACAGTGTTATATAAGCAATACAGCTAAAGTACAGCTACTCAAATAGTAAAACAATTATTCAGACATCCAGATTAAGTTAAAGTTAGAGTTATTAGCAAGCCCAGATGAAATCAGCAGACTTTTTCCATGCTGATTTTGGGAAGAAAATGTGTATTCTTTTATTTATTTTTTTATTGTTTGTTTGTATGTTTGTTTGTTAAACAAAATGACAAAATATTTTACATAATTATTACAAACATATTAATGTTCAAAATCTGGAGCTTTCTGAGTAATTCTGTGCACACAGATTCCATCTGGACTTGGTTGTTAGTTAAAAATAACAGTCAATAATAGTCAAAATAACAGATCATAATAGTTTCAAACAGTTATGTTAATGCAGTGAATAGAACAACTGCTGTTACATGCACATCTTAGTTAAAATTACCATTGAACATTTGAAACAATATGTTAACTGGGGTATGATATGGAAAGTGAGTGTTCACCATGTCCTAACCAGACACAACGCAATGTAGCGACATGCAAAAAAGGTATCTCATCCATTTTAAAGATTTTTTTTTTCCTAACCAACGCTGTTTTTTTTAGCGCTTGCTTATTTTCGTGACTTTTTGATTGGAGAGCCACGTACACACACAAATCTCACAGAACCTGAATTACTACTCCTCATGTATATTAAATATTATGACAAATCCCTTAATTTCATATGGAAAGCCATGAAAAGGATGCCTTGTGGTAAAGCCTCGCATTAGTCATAATATAGTCAAGGAACATGTTCTTTAGCTGTACATTCCTCAGTTGCAGAGCGTTATTCTGTAAATATCATAGTTCTTGCAAACAGACAGAACAGTTCTGGGTCACATCACACCCCATTTACATGTTGAGTGTTCATAGACAAATTGTTTGTTGCTAGAGTCTTGTTATATCAAGCATGGTTAGACATAATGTTGCTACCAGTGGAGGCTCCAGGAAATTTTTAATGTGGCCAGAGTTTTGCATGCATGCAAAATAAAATAAAGAGTTAACCTGCAATTATTTCAAGGATCTAGTTCTACTTAATCTATCCCATACGATTTTTTTTCCTTTGCTGTTTGGTCACATTAAATATTTTTGAGTTGGACAACATAATTTATTGGTTATATGTCACCACAAAAAGCACATTATGTTACTTGAAAAAAAAAATAGAGCTAATAAATAAATATATAAATAAAAGATAGTTCTTAACTTAAACTGTTTGTATTTGGAAGATGCACATCATAAAAATAAATAAATAAATAAAACAGCTTTTATCTTTATAGTTACAGAGAGATAAACAGTTTGGATTGAACTGGGGAGACCATAATCAAAATGCATTGCTTTTACAAGAGAAATAAAAAATGGTAAAATATGTTGCATACATGCTTGTGAGTTTTGTAGCTTGTTAAATTCAAAGTGATCCTCCTATGAACATGCAGTACAATTAAAGTTGCTTGTGCGAGTAAAGTGGAAGTGGAGTATGATAAAAGGAAATTCGAAATAAACTATTTGATCCATGTTTGATAATATATGTAGGCCTGAAAATATTACATTAATATCAAATGTAAACAATGAACATGGTTTTGACAAATGGGGGAGGCGCCACTGGGTGTCAGGTACCAGAATGGAGACAGAAGGCTGGAGGAGAAGATACTAGGAATTTATGATGTCAGCCAAAAATTTAATTTGTTAGCAAGTTAATCAATTTTGATTACAGATGACAAACTTTTGCTGGATTAAGAAATTAAATACTTAAGTGTCAGTTTTGTTTTTTGATGTTCTTAACAATTTGAGAATCAATATTCTGAACATTCTCAAATATGGAGGACCAAACCTGCAGAAATTAAAAATAAATAAATAAATAATTAAATGTAATATCAGGAAAATAAAGAAATAAATGACTTGATAAAAACAAATATAGTTCATCCGGAATTTATTTTTAAATTACCTTTTTCCTTTATGTATAATTTTCTGTATTTATTTTACATTTATTTTTATTCTTTTTAACTTTTATTTACTTATACTTTCATTCATTTTTATATGTATTTATTTTATTTATTTTTAAATGTATTTATTCATGTGTTTATATGTATTTATTATTTATTCCCACATGCATTTACTTCCATATTCATTAATTAATTTATTTATTATCTTTACACTACAAGCCAAATGCCTGCTTTTCAATAAAGCTATTATTGCTGATTTTAATAAAAAAACCTGTAACAATAAAAAAGAGTGAACATTTATCATTAACGATCATAACCGGTGCTAGATGTCAACAAAGTGACATTCAGTAATACAGTGAGAAAATGAATGAAGTACTATATATGCGTTATGCGTTGAACTGTAACAAGTTTGTTACAATTTGTTTAGTTCTTCTATCATTGCGGGATGCTCTACAAAGTTAGCTTCTGCTTATGCCGTGTGAGCTGTTAGTGAATTGAGGCATTCTGTGAGAGCACATGCAACATGGCGGGAGGTTTGGCAGACATGCAGGTCATGTTGCAGGTCAGGTTGGGGTATGACAGAATCCCCTTGGTGGCAGAGGACCTCACCGTTGTGAAGTCCATGGAAAGCAAAGCTCTGGCTCTATAGTGCCAGCAGGAAATGGCAGCCAACATTGAACTGGCAAAGTCAGCTACCTGGTTGTCCTCCATTAGAATATCGTCAGAGTCACTTCCCTCCCCTTCTGCTTCATCCCCATTCTCTTGCATCAATCTGGCCTTTAGAGACGGCGAGGCACGGATGGGCTCCTCATTATCACTGGGAATCAGGGCTTCAGGAGAGTATTCGTCTTGTGCAACAGGCTTCTCAGCTGAAGACTCGCATAAGCCAAGAGTGCTATCGCTAGCAGTGGCTTGTAAAGGCCACCTGTCAACGGCCAATGCCCCCTCACTGTCAGAATGCTGGGGCATGAAGTCACAAAGATTTCTTCTTAGGAGATATAAGGACATGACCCAAACCAAGAAAAAAAGAATATTTCTTTGGAAAAAGAATTTCCTTTTGGGTATAAAGGTGCCCTACTTCTCACAAGCTGTTCTTTGACATCACTCTAAAAACAGAGGCGGATAGTAACGTGCTACATTTTACTTTGATACATCTACTTAAGTAACTTTTTTAAAAATTTACTTTTTGAAGTAAGTTCAATTATGGGTACATCTCACTCGAGTACAAATTTCTATTGACAAAAATGTACTTTGACTTTAAGGCGCATTCACATCGAGATGGATAATATTCTTTAAGTACCTTTAAGCAGGGTTAAATTCTGATTGGCCATCACTGTTTTTATCACTCATCAGCTTCAAATAATTCTGAAGGTTATTCCATTGATATCGTTCCTCCTTGTTGTTATTGTTCCCCATTTTCATAGAATTAAAAAAATTCTTAAAACTACTTTAGGTATTGTAATAGTTATTGTCCTTGGTGTGAACAGACCTTTACATTGGGCAACTGTACTCTTTATGTTCCAATATTTTCACGCATGCACAGAGAAACATCCTTTATGCCAAACATGTAACTGACTTCACCATGATCACTTCATCATCATCTTGCTTGCTCCTAATCAGATCCTAAGTAACTATCTAGTAACTCACTACCTGAGTAGTCTTTTCATTGGAAACTCTCTTTTTTACTTTTACCTAGTCATTGTAATCATTATTACTTTTACTACTTCTTGAGTGTTTTATTTTATTTGTCAGTATTTGTACTTTTACACACCCGTCTTCAACATTTCGACAATCTTGTGGACCACAAAGTAAACAACACATCAAATAAAAAGAGCATAATTTGTACACTTCTGCTTGTGTGGTTTCTAGCATTCTTTGTGTTTTTATATACTGTCTTTGTGGTTTTGTATAACCACATCTAACTGAATTCTAAATGTTCCTTTGGTTGATTTAACGGCGTCTTACCTTTAGTATTACTGAAGAATTCACCCAGACATCAGCCAGATAAAAGAAAGAGAATATTAGTAAATTTGAAGGCATTTTTATCAACAGTGTTTATAATTTTGTTGCAAACAATTTCAGTGAAATATGTGAAATACAAATGGTATAAAGTAGGGTCCAGGAACATAACGTAACATTACTTCTTTTCTTTTCTTTTCAAATACCAAAATGTAAGCACATTTGTGACATTAGCCATACTTTGTAGAATTTCTGGCTTTCACTTAAGCACAATATGCTTGGAACATTCTCAAATAATGCTTTAAATAACATGGATTTTCAGGTTAGAATTTTTTTTTTTTTTGAGCCACTTGAGTGCCACATTCATTAAAGAAAAAGAGAGACAAAGCAAAAACAGACATTCAGTTTTTTTTGGGTTAATTTTTTCAGTTAAACATTCTGCTTAAATTAAAGTTAATAATACAATTTAAAGGGGTGGTTCACTGGGTTTTTTCTAGACTTGATTGTGTTTATGGGGCAAAAAGTTAAATCGCAATGAACCACCCCTTTAAATGTCTTACTACACAAGAAAAATAGACACATTTTCACTAGTGTCTGATCCCACTGTATCATTATTACATGCCAGCAGCTAACACTTATGAACTTTTTATTTAAATATAGGACAATATCTTTACTTAAAGTTAGAACAGAATGGACACTTGGAGATTTACCTTCAGTGTTCTTTAGGATCTCTTTAGATGGTTCTGTTGGAAGATGAAGTAGTAGACCATCTTTGTAAAATTGGAAAGTTTCAATTAAAAAAAGATAAGTTAAGACCAAGACTTAGATTGGGAACCTACCTGATTGTCTCCGGCCTTGTCTAGAGTTAGAAAACTCCTCTGACTGGCATGACACAGACTTTTTGAGCTTCTCAGGACTGTACCTATACTTTTTGTCTGAAATAAAAAAAGTTGTCCATCAAAACAGGCCCATGACATTTTTTTTCATAATAAAAAAAGAAAAATGGTATGAAATTATATTCATGAGTGGTTAGAAATATTTACAAATAGAATCCATCTCCAAGATTGCTTCCTTTGCCTAAAAGAGAAACACAAAATAATTATCTGTCCAAAATAATTTTAGATATTTTAAATACAAAACCTAGTAATGTTTTTTTTTTTTTTTTTTAATTCATTGCATACCTTTTGTGGTATCACAGCCTGATGGTTCTCTAGAATGAGCCGTTTAATATGATGAGCCCATAATTTTTTTTCCTCCACCGTCCTAGCCTAGTGAAAATAAGATACTGCATTTCAGGAGTTGTATAAACATAAAAACAATAAGAAAATAATATTTTTTTATTATTATTTACTCAAACCCATATGCTTTTATTTTTTTCTGTGAAACATAGGAGGAGCGTAATTTTAAAGAATTTTCATACAGTGACAGCTCATAGTGAGCATGAGCTTTCAAGATCCAACAAGATCAACATGATAGTAGTCCATCCAACACAATATGTGTGGTTATTTTAAGTTTTCTAAAGCCATAGGATAGCTTTGTTTTACGAACAGCAAAATAATTTTTTTGCACTCCAATCAAATATAGCATCAATAATGCATGTTGAATGTCAACAGCAACAAATATCACTGGGTCTGAAATGTCTTTAAACCAAACATTACAATGTTTTATCATTGATCTAAGAGCTGCAGTGAAGGTGGACATTTGATATACGACAGATAACTTCGAAGAATCATTTTAGGGCAAGAGCTGCATAAAGATTCTTTAAAGTCCCCCTGCAGTCACTAATTTTATTCCTTAAAACTAATCTTTGATAATCAAAATGAGATATTTAATGTTTTTGCCGTGTAAATAATTTTTTCATGCCTTAAAATGGCTTGAATATAACACTATACCCTTAACTAATTTAGTATATGTGGAGTCATGAATATGCGCATTAATTTAATCAAACCAGCTCAGACTACCTGCTCCATTTTTACTTGGTTAACTGAAGTAGTAAATGCTACAAAGTGGCAATATTAATCCGTTTTGAAAGATTAATCTGTTGAATAAATGAATTAATTCCAAAGAAGAAGAGGAAGAGTGAATTATACAGGGTTGTCTACAAGGTGATATCAGAATGGTAATAATAATAATAAATGTATTTTGTACAGCAATTTTAAAAATAACTTTGTCAAAGTGCTTTGCACAACAATGTAAAACATTACACTTTAAATATAACAAACAAAAAAAAATTACAAAAAAGAACAGATAATCAAGTAAAAGCTATTCTAAAATAAAATGTTTTAAGATGAGATTTAAAAATGCCTAATGAATTTGCATTCCTAATGGCAGCCGGGTGAGAATTCCACAGTTTTGGAGCATAGGATAAAAAGGCCCTGTCATTCCTCAAGCAAAGTTGTGTTTTAGGAAAAACTAAAAAGCCACAGTGAGAGAATCTCAAGTTGTGAATTGGTGTGAAAGGCGTTAGAAGTTTGGCCAAATATTGTGGAGCCAGATCATGCAAAGCCTTGTACGTCAGCATAAGGATATTGAAATCTATACCTGACAGGAAGCCAATGAAACAATAGGGGTTATATGGTCACCAACCATGGCCCCTGATTGGATTCCAGCTGCTGAGGTTTTTTTTATTATTTATTTATTTATTTTTTACAAATATTGTAGTTTATTAAGGGAGGATTTAGATACACCAATAAGGATAACATAACAGTAGTCAATGTGCAAGAAAACAAAAGTTAATCAACCTTTCAGCAACAGAAAAGGACAGCATAGGCAATAAATGTGCATTATTTCTAAAATGAAAGAAGGAGGTCTTAACAGTGTACAAAAGCTTAAATGACAGGCTGGCATCAAAGAGGACTCCAAAATTGTTTTTTTGTTTTCTTTGTAACTCAAAGGCAACACCATCCACTGACAAAGCTATAGAGCCAGCAGTACGCAGCTGATGGGGAGAGCCAAAAAGCATTTTAACAGAAAATTATTAGGCATCCATATCCATAATCTCAAAAATACAGTTGAAAAGATGAGAAATGTCCACAAATTGACCTTGTTTTTGAATGTATATAAATTTGAGTGTCTTCAGCATAAAAATGACAGTTAAGGTCAAGAGAGCTTAAAAGCTAGCCAAGTGGGTTAATATAAATGGTAAAAAAACAAGGGACAAAGAACTGAGCCCTGAGGGACACCAGTAAGGACAGGACAGGACCTACACAAACCATGTTCCCGTTTGGGATCTCAAATAGCTACCTCCTAATTATCAACATCCTTAGGTAGAAATGCTTTGCTAATGATATGAAAAGCTTCACAAGTTGACGGGATTGGTTACATGTTTAACCGTAGGAAATGGGCTGTTTCAAACCACATTCTTAAGACTATCTTTAGTACAATGATGTTGCAGCAATGATGTTAACTAATTAATTTGCACATGGTTTGTCTGTAAGCATACTTAAAAAAACAGATAGGCATGTAAACAATGTTAAAATCTTGATTTTCACCACAGGGGTCTTTTAAAGATTTCTACTTTTTTGTAGAAATGGAATACATGTTACACAGCAATCAGAAAATAATGACAGACAGTTTTTGCGGAACTATTTCTTTATGAATAAAATATTTGTATATATGTAAAGGCGCTAATCATTGAAGACACACCTGGACAGAATGAGGTTGTTTGGGATGCTTGTAATGAGTGACACTGAAGCACAGAGAATCCTTGGCACTCTCAATCAACATGAGCGTTGAGCACTGTGGTAAGTAAAGAGAAACAAGAGAAAACAATGGCAACTTCACCAAACAAGAGGCATTACCTCTTATTCGCCTCTTAAAATTCATAAGTGGTAAAGGCTTCACACTACATTAGTGCTGACTGTTCAGACAATAAATGAATGAAAAACAAAGTACTTCTCTATGAAAACAGATAAAGTCATACCGAGATGTGTGTCTTATAGACGTAATGTTCTCCTCTGCGTTTGGTGATAAGGAGCATGCGGTCAAAGAGAAAGAGCGTACGTTCATTCTTGGCACGATGGACACGAAAGGTGCCCTCGAGAACCAATTCTCCATATGTAGTCAAATCAGGTCCCTTCCAGTTTATGAGCAGAGACTGGACCTCCTGAGATAGATTATGGAGGTACAGAGATCATGAATTGGTTAATATCTTCACTAAACATGGCTGAGCACATAAACAAGAGCAGTGAAACATGCTCATAACACAACTTCTTTGTGTGTTTGCGAGCTCACCTGAAGACGGACTGCATGTTCATGTTTTCTCTTCATGTCGTTTATATACCACGCAACACCAGTCATAGTGTAAATGGCCTCCTCCACCACCTCATAACCCTCCTCCTCTGGATCAAAGTGCTTGGCAATCTCCTACAATATAAAAAACATCCAAATAAATCCAAAATTGTTTATTGCATAAAAGCAACAAAAATGGCAATCATGAAATCAACCATGATATTCTTTTAACATTACCTTAAACTGTAAAGGCCCAACAATATTCACAATAATTTACATTACAGGCTAAAAAAAAAAAAATTGTAAATGCATTAGCATAAATATGATTACTTCCCAAGTATCACACTCTATTACCAAGTGACCAATGGATTTCCATCAAAATAGTGTAGAGCAGTGGTTCTCAATCTTTTTGACTCCAAGGCCCCCCGTTGTCCACAACAATATTTGAAGGCTCCAAGACTTTTCCAGTTGTTTGTGATTTACTGGACAAAGATTAAGGGGATTCCCTCATATATGCAGGTTTTCAAAGTCTTTGGGAATCCTGGTTCCTCTATTAAAAACAGTTGTTGAGGGGGGTAAAATAAATAATAACTATATCTTGATTTTTTATTATTTTATCTTTTTAATTTTAATGGTTGTTTTGTCTCATTTTACATAATTTTAAGTCATATTTAAACCGATTGGAAGTTTACTGAGGCCCCCTAGTGGGCCCCACTAGAATCACAGCTGTAGTTTGATTAAATGCACAGCCTTTGATGTCAACAACAAACAAGGATGGCAATGTTTTTCCCTTTTAAAAAGATTTTTAAAAATTGCTATCCACATTTATACAAATGCACATTCATATGGTTATTTTACATTTGAATAATGTGCATTTAGTATTTTTACCCTAGTAACACAGACCTGTGATCTGTTTTGCTCGAGAACCCATGATATAGCTCTTTCCCCTTAACTCTTTCAATAAATATCTTGCAAATGCACAAGAATGTATACAAGAATGAGAAAGAAAAAAAAATTTTTTCCAAATGCAAAAAAATGTGTTTGCCTGACGAAGGTCTTTGACCGAAACGTTGCTATTTTTTATTTTTTTGAATAAAGGGAGAATAACAGTGTGCAGATCTTTTTTCTAATATTTGATGTACCTTTTGATCTTGCACCTGGCCAAGACTTTTTTTGGATGTGCGTACTTTGACCCTTCCAAATGCAAAAAACTATCATAGTACAACAAAAATGATCATGCATGATAATGGAAGCATTGCTCACGGTAGGTGATTTGAAGCCTTTGCTACTCTCTAAAGCATTATCCTGAGAGTGGTTGTCTAACCTGTAGTAAAAGATGATATTTGAGGATCCTCTGGACAGGCTTGAGAAGGTAAGATCCCAGAGGCAGGGATCGCTTTAAAGCAGCTTGTCTCTCCCTGAAGAACTTGGCAAGAGTTTTGTTTCTCATGCAGTCTGTTAGAGCAGCCACAGAGCTATGGAGAGAGTATGAACAGTCAGCACAGCACACCACACTAACAAATATGTCATTTTACAAACTGATGATAACAATAACTCTCTGATAATTCATTAATCATCAAAGTTTACAAAGGAAATACATAATGCTCCAAACAGAAATAGCACCTACAGTAAGACCTATCACTCATGTGCAGAGGCACTAGTGACTATTGATTGGTGGTTGACTTGTATTAACGATGACATCTACATCTACATCCATCTAAAACTGTACACATATCACATAATACACATAACTCTTGATTGTTTTTAAACTGCATAACGATTTTATGTCTGTGCTTGATTTTACTATATGTTTTGTCTGTAGATTGTTTTGTAACTATGTACTGCTGCTATGGCAAAATGATTCTATGTAATGCATTTTACTGTCCCCACACATTGGTTCAGTAATGTCTGGTATTGACCCTGAATTTGTGTGCTTGTTCGGGTATTAAAAACCTTATTGGTCATGAATTATTTGACCAACCACTGCATTAATATTAGTTATTGAATTGAAAAACACTTATAGTTTTGATGCAGTTTAACAACGTTTGATGAATATTATATGCATTAAAGTGTGAATCTCATAAATCCTGTCAAGAAATCTCCAGGTAATATTTTAACTCCCCCCAAATTAGACAGAAACCAAAGGTGCTTTTCTTTGGTGCACATCAATCTGACCATCTAGCCAGAGGCTCTTCATCATAATATGTGTCACTTTGAGCATTCAGTTCCACTTACTTTGGGTAGTTGGTGCAATATTGTGTGTAGATGTCAAAATATTCACGCTAAAAACAGAGAGGAAAACCATAGTCAGTAAAGTGTTTCTCAACAACACCCAATCACATCACACAATGCAAATATTCAGCTGCAATGAGCCTCATTTACATAATTCGATTTGGAAATCACCATACACTGTAATTACGGCACTGTTTTTCTGGAGCTTAAGTATTTTGAAGTTGTTTTCAAGTAAAGGTGTTAAAGAACTTACTGAATAAACATAAACACTCATCATTACAGATATATTTCCTGTTTAGTTTCATAAACATATTATTCGAATATGATCAGATTTAAAGCCTTGAACTTCACCTTGATCACAAAGCATCTGGCAATGGCCACAGGATCATTGTCACACATGTCCAGTGATTGAAGGAGCTCACTAAAAGTAAAGAGAAAGCATGTTTACAGACCACAAAACATTTACTGTAACTAATGATTATTAAAACACCACATGCTCTGCACACTTCTGTAAAGAAAAACAGCCCCATTAAGGCCATTATAGCGTTAAGTTTGCAAAAAGCCTTGTGATACAGAATTAACAGCACATGCAGTTGCAAGTCAGTCATCCTTCTGTGGTCAGTGAAAAAAAAATGAACGTCTCTTTCCACTCTTTCTATGTCCATGCGTGTGATTAATAAAGCAATGCCTTGATGGAACACCTTAAATCTCTTTAATTGTATTAAAATAAAATCACTTTAATGAACAGCAGCAAGTGGCTTATTCCTTTTAAAAATGAACATGAAAAAATACACTGTTGCATAAATGATTACATGTATAAATAATAATCACTATCCCTTTAAACTAAAACTTTTTTTTTTGGTGATTTGAAATTTGAAATGGCAAACAACAAATAATTGGATGGCAATATTTTTAAAAGTAAGAATACTTGATTGTTAGATTCACTGTATTATCTTTCATTTTAACTGACAGCATTTGCTTTGCCACTGTTATAAGAAATCGGAATCTCCTGTCCATTAAGTGTAGTTCAATCCATGTTTAAATGGATTTGAAAGCAAAACTCAGGGCTTAGATGACCACAGCAAACCCCACAGCATACAGAAGTCTACACTTTCTGTGTCATGCATTTGTGACATACCACAAACAGAAATATGGCAATTATTCACTCACTTACTGTATGGTGTTGAGGAGAAAAGTATCTCTCTGCAGTAAGACCAACACCTGACAACAGGTGAGCGGACAATGTTCAAAAACAATATATTGATGATTGGTTAGATGGGAAAAGGTGAAGAACCCTGTGTGTTCAAGGCTCCATAAAGCCTTTTTAAGGAACAGCGTGAGGGAAAAAAAAACTGTTAAAAGCTCTAATCTAGAGTCACAGCTTTAAGCCACCTATATGCTCCTGATTACCTAACATTATAAGATATACATCTCAATAAATTAGAATGTCGTGGAAAAGTTCATTTATTTCAGTAATTCAACTCAAATTGTGATAACAGATATAAGTAGATTTTTGTCCACACAATTGTTCTTTAGAATGAGAATGTCCCTCTGCCTAACAAATCATAGTTTATGTACCAAAACACAAAAAAGAAAAGTGCACCTCAAGTCTTTAATGTTTTAGTCTCCCTTTAGCTCAGATACAGCATGGCACTAACAACGGCAAGGTAATGTGTTTGATTTTCAGGAAACGGACATACTGGCTAAATGAGTGGACTGCAATTCACTTTGAATTAAAGCATCTAACAAATTTATATGCAAATGTAAATTCAAATTTGAAAAAGATTCATGAAAAATTACATGAGAGAATTTATAAATTCTTAACATACTGTAAGCATAAGCTTATTCGGACAGTTTAGTAGTTTCTCTCTTCTCTTTTCCTCTTTCATATCATGTTAAAGCAGGGAGTGTGCTCGAACAAAAAGGACTCTTTGTACATGTGAGTATGAAGGCACATGCCTAACAAATGTGACAAAGCTACAAAAATAGATATCAACCCAGGGCTCTACAGTACCATTTCAGTCACATTCTGCAACTGAAAATTACTGTGCGACTGTAAAAAAAAAAGAATCGCATGAATAGTTGCATGACGAATGCAAAATTAACATTCGCCAAAGCAGCAAATGAGACTAAAAATTGCGCAAGGTAGCAATTTAATTATGTACATTTATAGTCTGGTGTGCAGCGTGACACTGTGTTCATTCACACGCGAGCAGCTCATGATTTGTTGTGTTTTCAGTGTCTCATTAGCAGTGTCTCAGCTCGGTTCCCAGTAAAAGGTGCTTTACATGAACTCCATCTATGTAAGTACCGTGAGATTTGGTCACTTATATGACATGCTGAAGGTTTCCCCTGTTCTCACTGGTTCTCTGGCAATATACGTTTTTACTCTGCACTCACTGACATGGAGTTTGGTAATAATACATTATTGTTGTTTTTTTATAGTCATATTGAATAGATTCCATAAAACCAACAGTTTAAGTGTGGCCTTAAACAACTGAAGTGGAGAAAGAAATTAGAAAAAAAGGTTAATTGTAACATTCTCTTCTTGTGCAGCTTTTATACACAAGCACAGCAAACCTGAACTTCTTTAAAGAAAATTTAAAAAGGAAAAATAAATATATTTTATTTTTTATAAGTGAAATCACAATTTGGTTTTCCCAAATAGTTAAACTCTCAGCAGCAAGCCCTGTTTTTGTAATGCAAATAAAATAAGTAAAAACTCCCAAAATGCCTTTTATGGTACATTCACATGGTGCGAGGGCATCGACGCTTAATGGAGGGCATGCTTAGTGCTGATGCGACTGTCAGAGTGACAACAGCCAATCACATTAGTTTTCTGGTGTTGCATGAACGCGATTGGCTAGCACCAAGGTATTTGCATAAGGTGATCTTATTGGCTGACGCCTGCATTGGTGCTTGAAAAGTTTTCAACTTTAACGCGACGCAACAGACTCACAATTCAGTTCGGCAATGCTTGACGTCACTCCATTCAAAGTAAACGAGAAGCGTTGACGCCGACGCCCCTTGTGAATGTACCGTTACTGTTACTGTGAAAAATTGCTTTTACTGTTATATAAGATTTCTATGGAGCTTATAATATGACAAAAATAAAAAAAAATATTGAATTTGATGTTCCGAATTTCCTCTCCATCTTGAAAACTTGAAGCTGTATTTTTTAAAACTGGATATTTGTAGGCTAAGATTTCAGAACTAAAAATTCACTGTTTGGAAATACATGTCTTTAAAACTCTGCCATAAAAACATCCAGTTGTGTTAAATTTCAAATGTTTAATATTCAAGTAAAAAAAAAATCTAATTCAGAACTATGGTAAATGCCACATAATATTCAGTTTTGTTAAATGACACTTGTAAATAATTCAAATTTACACAATACAATTTCAATTAGTTTTGTCATATTATAAGCTCCATAGATTTCAGTCATTCCGCCCACCCAAATTAGGGAGTTGGTGAGTCAATCTTTTAGTAGACCAAAGACATAAACATTTTGTGTGGACTATTCATCAATAAATACCTGTCAGGAACAGCTATTCATCATTCTTTTAATATTCTGTTAATTAATTTTTTTATTTACTTCATTTAATCATCAGCATTTAAGTGACAACTACAAAACGGTAAAAAAAAAAATCCTCCTTTGGTGTGGGCTCTAATAACAGCTATATTTCAGACAAGATAGCTTGTTACAGCTATCTTTTAGCCTTTAGTCACCATTGTTATTAAATAAGAAATTAAAATAACATTATAATGTCTTCAAATTAAGATTGTTCTTTGTATAGAAAACCTATGCATTCCAGTGTCTGTACATGCATCAATAAATGACTGGTGCTGGTTTTAGTTTTGTTGGGCTGCAAAAACAAGCTAATAATGAATGATTTCTTACCTGTTAAATTCATAAATGTCCTCTATGTTTCCAAACAGAGCACACACCTGTTCTGGCTTGATGGGAAGATCTCCTGTATCTATAATGTGAGCAAGGTAATCCTGCAAAGAGAAAATCAATCTTGAATACTCTTAACTTGCATGAAACTGCAGATTTCTGAAAGACATTCTTTTTTTAAGATTATCACAAAAGTTGCACACTATATTGTAAGCATATCAATGTGCCAATATTTGCATTTTTAACAGGCAATGACTGAAATAATGTCTTTTAAACTGAAACAGCACAAAAGTGCCAAAATATTTTCTAAATATTTTTAAACATTTACTCTATCATTCCGTGTCAACTCTATGGAAGCCCGTTTCCGCCACTGAATAAAAAATAAAAGAGGTAATTGCGACTTTTTATCTCACAATTCTGACTTTTTTTCTCAGAATTGTGTGATACAAACTCAAAAAAAGAAGAAGTTTTTTTTAACTTTTAAAAAGTCAGAACTGCAAGATATAAACTCACAATTCTGCCTTTTTTTCTCGCAATTCTGACTTTTTTTCTCAGAATTGTGAGATATAAACTCGCAATTCTGAGAAATAAAGTCAGAAAAAAGTCAGAATTGTGAGATAAAAAGTCGCAATTACCTTTTTTTTTTTTTTCAGTGGCGGAAACGGGCTTCCATACAACTCAACCAGGTCCCCGGCTCAAATTTTAGTTTTTTTTCTGACGAAAGACAGACATGCACTGTATAGTAATGAAAGCCAAAATATTAAATGTCATGGATGAATATTTAGAGTAATCCACTATTTTGTAGAGGGGGGGTCAAAATGGCAATTTTCACCTGAGATTCAGAGCCAAGGGGGTAAAAATTACTTCAGAAAGATGGCAGCATCATAATGTTGTTTACATGGAGGTTGGTAGGTCTGTTAGTAAAATCTGCTCACTTTAGCAATCTTTGTTGCATTGCCAATGGTGACCATTAAAAAATTTTTCAGGGTTTTTTTCTTCAAAGTTTGCATGCCTGTAAATCAAGAAGTATAAAAGATATCTTAATGCCCTTTTAGATATTGGGTCTTAACAAACTTTCCTTTTGGCATCTTCATTTTTAAGGCCCTATATGGTTCGGTTCCAAAGATATTGGAATTTTAAAATGGCTCCAGGAGTAAGTTGTTAAAATGTACATATTTTAGTGGTCAAAAACCAAATGTGTGACAATTTGCAAAAATATGATACTTTTTTCTTTTAAAGAGGAATGTCTGAAGAACAAATAATGTTGACACTAGTTACGTAGCTCGTTTAATTCTGTCAAAACAACTGCATTGAACATACCTGTCTGAGTGTCATAACTATTCTTTTTCCAAAGTTTGCATGCCTATAACTCAAGAAATATTAAATATATCGCAATATGATTTTAGATTCTAGTTCTTAAACTTTTCTTTTGGAATCTTCATTTTCAAGGCCCTACATCATTCAGTCCCATCGTTTAGTGGCTAAAAAGCAAATGTTGGTCACTTTGTATACAGCTGATACTTATTGTATTTAAAGCAGAATGTCTGAAGAATAAGTCATGTTGAAACTAGGTATGCATCTTGAGATTCAGAGCCAACGAACGAAAACTCAAACCTACTTAAAATTTGCAAACTTGCAAAAGCCACCTCAATGACTATGTGTAAACAAATCTCAAACTGATTTGAATATTGGTTCTAAACAGTCAAGATAATTTTTCATGTTATGTCACTACTTTCAGTACTGCATAGAGAAAGGCATCACCTGTCTTAATGTAACTTCATAGACTGACATTTTACTAGGTATTATACTAGGCTGAGAATATGCAACCACATTTGGCACCAATCATTACACTCAGTGTTTAGATGCCTAGTGTTCAGGGCCAAACTTGGTCCATATTTCAAATTTGGTTCAAATGTGGCTCGGGTACAGAGCATTTGGACTGGTATCAACCTGCCGACAAGCTTACACTTTTTGATGATGGGGAGATCAATCTACAAATGGCTTATTTATACTGTAGTTTACTTCTAGGTTACTTTCTTTGCATACTAAATTGAGATAGTAGAAAACATTTGATATTGAAAATATAAACTTAGCTTTAAAGAAAACCAGCGACTAAATTGAGAAGGCATAGAAATGCAATCTGTTTTCCTGTCTGCAAACTGTTCCAGTTCAAGACACCAGCACCACAACTCTTAATTACAAACAAAGGGGAAAAAATCAGAAAAAAGTGACCTTGACCCAAAAGGCTAAAAGATACAGAAACCACCACCAATGAATAAATAAGCATCTGGGCATTTTTGCAACAAAGCCCATAAGAAAACCCTAAAATATTAGATTAAGAATGCCCTTCTTAATCTAATAATGAATGAAAGTTAGGTTGAAAAAAAAGGTCCACTAACCTTAAATGGATAGTTCACCAAAAAATGAAAATTCTGTCAGCGTTTACTCACCCTCAAGTTTTTCCAAACCTGTATTAATTTTTGTGTTATGCTGAACACATAAGATGATATTTTTAAAAACGAAACCAAACTATTTCCGGTCCCCACTGACTTTCACAGTATTTTCACCATACCAAATCAATGTGGACCAGCGACTGTTTGGTTACCCCCATTCTTCAAAATACCTTCCATGTTCAACAGAAGAAAGAAATTCATACAGGTTTAGAACAGTCTGAGGGTGAGAAAATGATGATAGAATTTTCATTTTTGGGCGAACTATCCCTTTAAACTTGTCATTATATATATTTCCATTTAATTGCTTAATTGTTCCCTAAGTTATGTTTGGCTTTGCAACAAAGTCCTTAGTAATCATTTCACCCAAAACAGGTCCACTAAGTCATCTGCTGGAATCTAATGTAATGTCAGTTAGCAGCACGCAGGACGAGAAGAGCCAAACCTCATCACAGCAAGATCACTGGAACACGTCATTCTGTCCTGTCGTGCTCAAGCTCAAGGCGGCACTCAAAATCAGTGAATCTAATCACCAGGAACAAAATCACTTTAAGAATGAATAAAGTGGCATTAATCAGTTTGGTGTATGAAAAAAAAATTTCAACAGCGCAAATGGAAATATTAGAAAGGACAACAAAATAGATTTGTTAGTGAAAAAATGTCTATACACAAAACAAATTTTAGGTTGAAGTCAGTGAGTGCAATAACAATGATTTAGGACAAATAAAACGTAATTTAATAGAAAAATATGTGAGTGGTGGCATGTGGCACGGCAGGATTTTGAGCAGCTTTCAGAGTCGTAGCAATGACAACGCCATACACTCATACGAAACAATGTGTTCAAAATTTAGGATGCTCTATGTTCTCTGCCAGACCCCCTCACATCTAACCCGTAAAAGTGTTCATGCAATCAGGCCATGGACTATATTCACAGGTATTGTCAAGCAGATACTGAAAGACTTCATTGTTAAGAGGAAAGCGAAGTTTGACTGCTACCAACTGCATGTGAAACCTCACAAGTTTCACATGACCTATGGCAAACTACAGTTCAAAGGCCTTAAAAGAAAGATATGCTGCACAGACTCTGCATTGTATTGTTGTGGAACACCTATGCAATGTACACAAATAACAGCAAGTCAAGTCAAATCACCTTTATTTATATAGCACTTTTAACAATACAGATTGTGTCAAAGCAGCTTTACACTATTATATAGGAAAATAGTGTAACAATAGGACAATAGTAAATAGGACAATAGTAAACACTCAATTTTCAGTTAAAGGCAGTTCATCATTGAATTCAGTGATGTCATCATCCAGCTCAGTTCAGTTTCAAACATAACCGCAGGTATTTAATAAATCAGGAAGATTACTTACAAAGCAGTCCTTTGTGGTAGAAGTGATGGTTCTACCATACTTGTAACAAGGATTAGAATTTACAGTTTTAGCTATATGGAGTTTGCACAAGACTAGGTAATGATCTGAGTTATCATCTCTTTGCTGCAGTATTTCAACACCATTAACATCAATTTCATGTGACAGTATTAAATCAAGAGTATGATTTCGACAATGAGTAGGTCCTGACACATGTTGTCTAACCCCAATAGAGTTAGCAACACCTCCCCCTTTACCTTTTGGCTTATGTTTATAACAGTTATCTTGGGGGGAAGACTCAGAAATTATGTAATCATCAGGTTTTAGCCAGGTTTCTGTCAAACAGAGCACATCTAGGTTAATATCAGTGATCATATCATTTACAAAAAGTGCTTTCGTAGAAAGGGACCTGATATTCAATAAGCCAAGCTTTATAATTTGTTTCTCTGTATTATATACATTTTTTATTTGTTGAACATCAATTAAATTGTTACTCTTAAATTGGTTTGGACGTTTTTTGTATTTTCTAGTTCGGGGAACAGACACAGTCTCTATAGTGTGATATCTATGTGAAAGGGTCTCTATGTGCTGAGAATTAACTGATTTCTGTGACGTGAGGCGGCTAACAGACGGTCGGTTTAGCCAGTCTGTCTGCTTCCTGACCTGGGCCCCAGTTAGTCAAGTGCAAACTCTAAGACTATGTGCCATGTGCAATTAAAGTTTGGATGTGTGACTCTAGTTCTGAAATCTTCTCTGTCAGCCTAACTATTTCCCATTTAATTGCATTTATCACATGTGAATCCCTCGTCGCCGACAGAGAGAGCTAAACTATACATGTGGCAAGCAGTGCAAATAACAATAGCAGGAGAAGAAGACATTACTCACCATGATTGATGAATGATTCTGACTTACCACTGTTGTTTGATGAACTTGTGAAAAACGGAGTGAGAGAGAAAAGAAATGGAGTGAGAGAAAAAAGAAAACGGTAATAAATGCAAATAGAAACGCGAATGGAAACGCAAATCTTCTTCTTCTTTTAATTTTATTGGCGGTTAGCAAACCAACTTAAAGGTGCATTTACCGCCACCTACTGGACTGGAGTGTGGGCAGTAGCTTGATAGAAAGGAAGGAGACGAGAGAGAGAGAAACAATTTACCTATATATTTCTATTCAATTCTTTAACTTGTGCCCGTATTTTTCAAATAATTCATTAGGAGACTATGTATTTTCCTAGACATTGTTTTTCCTAGCAGATTTCCCACTGTCATGTTTTGTTTTTCAAC